TGTGTTTTAATTTGTTTTATACTGGTGTAATTTGACAGACTGTGACTGCTGCGGCTGTCGATTTTATTTGTTTCTTGTTTTATTTTTCTGTATCAGTAGGCACCATAGAGATTGATTTTTGTAGTATTTTAACCCCTTTTTATATATATATATTGTCGCAGACGGTGAAGGCGCTGCAGGGAAAACAAATCCTTTTTTTGTCTCACCGCTTTTGCATGCACAGCGGTGGGCCTGAGTGAAGATGGCACTGAAGATTTGCCTTTTTTATATTGTTTTGCCCATTTGGGGTCATGTGTGAGTTGCCGTCTCTTTTTAACCTGTGCGCTATGTCGATTTGTTCTTAAACGGTTCCCCGCAGCGCTCGTCCTGTCTCACAGGCAATCATACAGTTTTATCGTTTTTAATAAGGTAAAGTTTTTAATTGTTTTTAGGTGCCGCTGTTACACTGTTACTTTTATTTTGTATTAAAAATTAAATTCTTTTTAACTGACTGTGCGCCTACGGCTCTGTCCTATTTTAAATAGGGACCTACCACGGGTCACATCTAATAGGATATTATGGTCAACAGTATCGAATGCTGCACTAAGGTCTAGCAGGACAAGCACAGAGATGAGTCCACTGTCAGAGGCCATAAGAAGATCATTTGTAACCTTCACTAAAGCTGTGTTCACGAGCAAACCTCAGTCGGGCTGTGATGTGCTGCTATTTGAGTAAAGGGGTTCTTCTGGGACGATGGACCTGAAGCCCACCATGATGAAGAGCCCTCACAACTGAGTTCCTTGAAACATCAACTCCAGAAGAGACCAGGTCAGCAACAATTGTCTTGACAGATGTCCAGGGTTCCTTGCTGGCATGTCTGACTATTTTCCTCTCCAGAGCTCTTGAGATCTTGCACTTATGGCAATGATGCAATAACAGCTGTTCTAGACACTGTGAATCGCTTGGAAATGGCAGTCTTCCCCCTTATCATGAGCCTGTGCTATCTTCTTTCTGAGCTCAAGACTGATTTAGTTTGTCTTTGGCATGGTTTGTAACAGTAGTCCCTCTCATGTGTTCAAGTGCCCTCTTCCTTGGAGTCTTTTGAAAGCAAACATTCACATGGGGCTAATATTTTAAACCACACCATTTTTTACTATATTTAATATAAGGCAAACCGAAAAATGTATTTTCCATTGCAAAATGTACAAAAAGCTACTAAATAGCACTGGTGAATGTTTGATTATATCAAGTTTCATCAATGCTGCAAACATTGAAACAGTCCTTATTTGTCTTACTACCTTATCTGTCTCATTGGGCAGCATGGCTCTCATAGCTGTAGATCACTATATAGCCATCTGTGACCTGTGACTGAGTCATTTTTTATCCGTAGGTACAAAAATGCTCAAGGTGCTGCTTATTTCTACAAGAGCAAAGAAAAAATGACTTCTCTACATGATAAATAATACAGATACAATACCTAAATAATAAACAAAATCCCCAATTTGTGTTTTACTGTAACAGACCTATGTGCCGTTGCATATGAATGCATTTCACGGTGTTCATATTATTCTGTTCCTATAGCCAGTGCATCATCAATGATGATGAATACGCCCAAACAACCTGCTGGACTCCTTTTCCTTTGTGCATAATGCAGCTAAAATGAATTAAACTCAGTTCAAAATTCCTGCTGTAAAACAGAATAAGTCACTATATTAGTACAAGTTTGCCTGCTGGTATATGGCAAACTTTTCACCACAGTCCAGGGAAAAAGCTACTGCTTTCTCTCGGGACATGAAATGGTCCTACTCTGTTAACACCCTGGTGAAGAAAGCCCATCAAGACTCTACTGCATCAGTGGATTGAAAGACTTTAAACTTCCGCTTTTGTTTGAGGGAATTCAGGAACTTCTACACTTGCTCTATAGAGAGGATTCTTAGTGGGAGTAAGGAACTGCACCTGATCTGACCTCTTGGCTCCTAGGAGGGTGTTCCACTCAGTCAAGAGGACCAACAAGTCCAACCTTCCTAATCTGCAGCACATTCAGTGCTGTGAAGAAGTTTTTGCCCCCTTGCTGGGTCCTTTTTTTTTTTTTTGCATATTTGTCACACTTACATGTTTCAGATAATCAAAGATCTATATCAAGTCCATTAGAGCAGATATTTCATTCTCTAGCTTTAAGCCCAGCAGACCCATCTGCATGGCCCAGCATGATACAAATGAGGTATTTTTTTTAACTGTCAGCTATGCAGAGCTACTCTGCAATAATCATGCAAAGCTAGTGTAAAATCAACATCACAGCTCCAATTACAGTTTTGGAGCATTCTAGTGTTTTTCATTATTATATCAGCATAAACCCAATGGGTCAAAGTCCAAGTTGTGAAAGGCTTCGGGAGTACAACACACTAAAGTTGTGAAACTTTTTCAAGGCTCAGCTAAAATAAATCCCAGCTGAATTTATACAGAGGAAGAAGGAAAGGTGATGACGTTTAAGACAATAAGTTTCATCATTCATAGGATGTTTAAAAAAAAGGTGGGGGGTGTTTGAAGAAGATAAATGCAGACTCTCGAGCACAGTTGCAGGTCTTCCCTTTCTCTATGATGGACGGCACTGGGGGTCCTCCCCTCTGCTTCCCTAACCTCAACTCCTCCTGCAGGCAGCTGCTGCGACCCACCTCCCAGGCCGCTCTTCTCTACACTCTGCTGGCCTCAGTCTCACTGCTCACTGTGGTGCTCAACCTTCTCGTGGTCGTCTCCATCTCCCACTTCAAGCAGCTCCACACCCCGACCAACACCCTGCTCCTGTCCCTGGCCATGTCCGACCTGCTGTTGGGGTTACTGGTGATGCCCATCGAGGGCCTGCGCTACATCGAGACGTGCTGGCTGCTGGGGAGGCTGATGTGTGCTCTCAGTCCTTATTTGTCTTACTGCCTCCTCTCTTTTTCTCTGGACAGCATGGTGCTCATATCTGTAGATCGCTATATAGCCATCTGTGACCCTCTGCTCTATTCCTCAAAGATCACAGTGAACAGAGTGAAGCTTTCAG